ACTCGATCCCAGGACGCTGGGATCATGACCTGAGCCGAAGGCAGCTGCTTAACCAACTGAGCCACCCAGGCGTCCCAATAAATAAAATCTTTAAAAAAAAAAAAAAAAATGCCTTTCCATTTCCTGCTTTGCTTTAAGCAGTTTTTGAGTCCTCTGAGTATCACAGTAATTTTGAAAACTATTTAAGAGCATTTGTGTGTAACCATGTTAGACTTCCTGAAAAATCTAAATAAGATTCATAGGTTTTTCCATTTTAAAACTATATTTACTCCCTCCAAGCGCCTATGTGGATTAAGAAGCATAATCTCACTTTATAGAGATGGAACACCTTCTTCCAGTTTATGCTTGTGCCTTCAAGTCTACCAGCTTGTCTCTTATAGAAAAGGGACTTCCTGGGGTGCCTGGGTGCTCAGTGGGTTAAGCCTCTCCCTTCAGCTCAGGTCATGATCTCAAATTCCTGGGATTGAGCCCTGCATCAGATTCTCTGCTCAGCAAGGAGCCTGCTTCCCCTCCCACCTGCCTGCCTCTCTGCCTGCTTGATTCTGTCAAATAAATAAATAAATAAAATCTTTAAAAAAAAAAAAAAAAGAAAGAAAGAAAGAAAGAATGAAAAGAAAAGGGACTTAACAGTTTCTAACTCTTAGCCTTCCCTGTGATCCACTGAGTAACCACCACTTATAATCTACCACTTCTTAGCTAGTTGTAATAAGTGGTTATACCCTTCACACAAAATCCCAGCTTTACTAGTGTAATTTTTTTTTTTTTTTTAATTTTTTGGGCCGCCTGCGTGGCTCAGTCGGTTAAGTGGCTGCCTTCAACTCAGGTCTCCATCCAGGGAACATTATCAGGCTCCTTGCTCAGCGGGGAGCCAATTTCTCCCCTGCCTGCCATTCCTCCTGCTTGTGCTTGCTCTCTCTTTCACTCTCCCTTGCTCTGTGTCAAATAAATAAATAAAGTCTTAAAAAAAAATTTTTTTTAAACTAGTGCAATTCTTTTAAATGGAGACCACTGACCCAACCCTGATGATTTCATCATGTGTAATTTGCCCATTAGTTCTAGAATATTCTAGTTGTACCACTTGCTTATCTAAAAGGTAAAGAAACATTATTACCTCTATTGGTATTGCTCCCGTTCCACACATCGGATCAACTATTATATCAGCAGGTTGAGGAGCACAGAGCCTACAGAAGAGAAAATAGCCTATATGAAAAGACTTCAATCAATAGCTGAGGCTTTCACACACACTATTCCTGAAGCTATAAAGATCAAGGACCTATTAATGCTGGCATTAAGGAACACCAATCAATATTCATTTTAAAAATCAATTTGTAATTAAGAGATTGAGTCTATATCCTAGAAGTTATAAAAAAATTACATACAGCTAAAAGTACCCTCTGACCCAACCAAAATCACATTTCAGTGGCAGATGGAATTTAGCTTCCAGATCTTTCAATATATACATGTACATCTATCCATCCATGTCTTTAGAAAACACATAGTGTTACTTTGTATATAAACCTCTATTCCATAAGAAAAAAAAAAACTCAACTGTGTTTCAAGTAAAACATGTATTGATAAGTATCGATAATAAGTTTACTGGCAATTAGACATTTAATATTCCTTTCCTTATGAATTTAATTTTAAAGAACCTTGCCAAAATAACTGCTTTACTCTGAGCACTCAGTATTTGCCAAGTCATGGATTTAAGCTCTTTGCATGCATTATCTCATTTAATCTTTTTAACAGTTTTTCTGCAGATGACCCAAGATTTCTCAGTATCTTTCCTATAAATACCCCCTCCTATCCAATCATCAGTTTTTTGTTTTAAATCTTAAACTAGCTTACTTAGGTTTCTAATAGTTGCACCCAAAAGAACTCTCCATGTTCCTGGCTCCTACCATAATGCCTGGCAATACACAATAAATGTTTGTTAAATCAATGAAGGAAGACTGGGAGCTGTTCCTTTATCAAACGGGCCCAGTATTCTATTACTGTCATTGTATGGATAGGTTCCAATTGTGCTGAACTGTAACTCCATGGATGAGTAGAGTGAAAGAGGAAGCAAAGACTGGAAGAGAAGGAAATATAATAAACAATTAATACCAGCATATACCAGACACTATATAACCGGTATTAAGCATACAGTTCTACATTTACTCCTCACTAACAATCCTTTAAGTCTCACATCAAACCCATTTTGCAGTCTGGAGAACAGAAACCTAGAGAAGACAACTTGTCCTAGAGGTGGGAAGAAGCGCCCAATAAAAGGGTAAAGGACAAATGAGAAAGAAAGCTAGGTCTTGCACTTGAAAAAGTGGAAAATCCTGGATGGTTCCTGAGATGCTGTGAGTACAAATTTTAAAAAATATTAGTAAAAGTTCCCTGTGTTTATTTACATATTATACACATTTTTTGCCCCCCCCACCCTATATTATGCACATTTTAAAAATCTTTCCTTTCAGGGCACCTGGCTGGCTAAGCCAGTAAAGCATGTGACTCCTGATTTCCGGGTTGTTTGAGCCCCAAAATGGGCTTAGAGATTACTTAAAATAAATAAGTAAAAATTAAAAATATAAAAATCTCTGCTTTCATCTGTGTCATGGCACAAAAATGAAACACAGCAAAATTTGCTTTATTTCCCAATATACGCTATATACTTTGTAAACAGAAATGTTCAGAGGCAGATGAAAACTACTGTTTTCATTTTAAAATCAAGAAAATGGAGATGGTAGTCATGTGTTATTTTCAGGATTACAAAGAATCAACACTAGATACAAAAGAAACAGATGATTAGCTTTTTATCCTGTTGTTTATTCACTAAATTCCAACACAGTACTTCACAAAAAATTCAAGTGTTTTAAAGGGAAAATCCAAATCAAGGTGTCAGATTTATTTTTTAAAAAGATTTTATTTATTTATTTGAGAGAGAGAGAGAGAGAGGAAAAGAGAGAATAAGCAGGGGGAAGGGGAGAGGGAGAGAGAGAAGCAGACTCCCTACTGAGTGGAGAGCCTGGCAAGAGGCTTGATCCCCTGACCTGAGATCATGACCTGAGCTGAAGTCAAACACTTAACAGACTGAGCCACCCAGGTGCCCTGATTGATTTATTTATTTGAGAGAGAGAGAGAGAGAGAGAGCACGCGCATGCGCGAGCAGGAAGGGCAGAGAGAGAAAGAGAGTGCAAGTGCAGGTGTGGGTGAGTGGGGGTTGGGAAGAAAGGGAAGGAGAGAGAATCCTCAAGTAGATTTTCCGCTGAGCACAGAGCCCATCATGGGGCTCGATCCCAGGACCCTGAGTTCATGACCTGAGCTGAATCAAGAGTCAGACACTTAACCAACCGAGCCACCCAGGCGCCTCCGAAAGTGTCACTTTAATCTAGATGGCAAACTCATTCTCTTACCTAAGCATCCCATAGGCAAGAGTAGATCTAAGAGTTGTAGGTCCAAAATGTGTGATATTTCTTCGGTGGAGACTCTCTTCTGTCAATGCAATGCCCACAACAATTTCATTATCATGGATGTTCAAAAGAACCTATAGAAGAAAAACAGAGAATAAAATAGAAGCACCTGGATGGCTCAGTAGATAGAACACGTGACTCTCAATCTCAAGGTTATGACTTTAAGCCCCACACTGGGTATAGAGATTACTTAAAAATAAAACCTTAAAAAAAGAATAAAAGTTTTAGGATTGTTTACACTTCACTGTTACTAAACTTTATTAATTAAAAATTTTTTGTCTTATCATTGAGCTATACTTTACATAAAGTGGACAAATCCCAAACACACAACACAGGGAATTTTTACTTATACACACTGTGTAACTGCCATTGAGATAAAGATACACAGTATTTCTTAAAAAAAAAAAAAAAAGATATACAGTATTTCTAGCACAGGACAGAAGGCTCCCCGCCTTGTCCTCTGACAGTACCCACCCAAAGTAATCATTAATCTGACTACCAACAGCACAAATTAGTTTTCTTTTTTTGAACTTCATATAAATAAATCATCTAGTATGCACTCTTAAATTTTAAAACATTTTATTCTTTTTATTTACTGTAAGTTACTGTAAGCAGATATCCCCTGAATTTTTATAATATCAACATATTTTGTAGGTTTATGGCTTACACACATTTTTTTAAAATTTTAACTTTTTTGGAAAAGGTTTCGAACATATAGAAATGCTACTAGAACACTTGCATAGTAACTCCTAAATATACCCTGCATTTAGATTAACCAACTGTTGACCACGTCATATTTGCTTTATCACCTATTATTTTCTTACTGTGTTTTTAAATTTGACTCACTAATGCCTATGAAATGCTTTTCTGTCCTACTGTTTTTCTAACACACGGTGAAATATAAAATATTCAAGTAACAAACATTCTCCAGTCTTCCACATAACATGATCTTAACAAGAGCACCAGCTGACACTTACCTAGCACTTCTTATATGCAAGCCATTGTTCTCTACTTTAAATTCACTACATTTCATATTCACATCCTCCAAGCTAGTTATCTTTTTAATTTATTTTCTTTTGTTGCAATGTAGTTGACACACAATGTTACACTGCTTTCAGGTGAGTTAGGTATTTTTTTTTAAGATTTTTTATTTATTTATTTGACAGAGATCACAAGTAGACAGAGAGGCAGGCAGAGAGAGAGGCAGAAGCAGGCTCCCCGCCGAGCAGAGAGCCCGATGCGGGGCTTGATCCCAGGACTCTGGGATCATGACCTGAGCCAAAGGCAGAGGCTTAACCCACTGAGCCACCCAGGTGCCCCAGGTGAGTTAGGTATTATCTTCCTTTTAAAGTAGGGAAATTGAGGAAGAGACGTCCTCTTACTTACCCAAAGTCATAGAACACTGAAGTTAGAATTTGAATCCAGGCAGTGTGGCTTCAAAAATCTGTGCTCTGAGCCCCCCTGCTAACTTCTGGACATTACTATTCTAGTTAGCCTAGTCATTCTTGTAACAGCTATTACATCGAAAAAAAAGGAAAGGGGAATTGTTCTTCTGATTTGATATGCAAAAAAAAATGTACAGAGAGAATAAGTGACTTGCCCCAGATTCAGGTGTCCCAAAAGCAACAGAAAATGACTTCTTGGTGAAAATGTCAGGTGCTATGGACCTTTTAAACTGTCAGAGATTTAAAGACTACTTAGCATGGCCCACATGTGAATCACCTGATTAGCAGAAGACTGAGACCAAGGAGAGTAAGAATGCAAAAAGAGGCATCTACATTTACGGATCTAGCAGAATTTAAGAAAGGGAAGGGAAGAGCTGCCTGTAGGATGAGTATTAGCAATGATGTCCTGATTTTAGGAGGTTGGGGTTTATTTTAAAAATGTACTCCACTTTTTTTTTCGTAGTAAAACTCTACAACCAAGACACAAAATACAAAATAACTGCTTTAATTCTGGTTGGATTTTATAATCTGAAAATCCAAATAATGTAAAAAGTACTAGATTAAAAAACTCAAGTCTTAATATTTCCCATCTACTGAGCACTTAGTTTTCAGCAGGTTCACACCAAATATCCAAAATGTATTATGTCATTTAACTTTCAGGACATACTTAGAAGTATATGCCACTGCTGGCTCCATTTGAAACAGAGGCTCAGACAGTATCTTGTCCAAAGTTAAGCCGTTGTAGAGTCAAAATCTGAATCTAGATTTGTCTCATAGCCCATGCTCTTGTTAACCACACCCTATTAGCTCTGTGGCCACAATTTAGCTGACCATAAAACTGGTTAGGCTAAAAATGCTACCTATCTGTGATGGCCTTCTCGAATCATCATAATCAGAGCCAGTACGTACCTCCACATCAAAGTTGGTCATGTCAGCCTTCCACTTAAAGTAATCTTGAACAGCACCCCCAAAATCTCTTGCAGCCTCATTTGAGGAAAAGCAATGTTTCTCTCCAGCCCGGTTGCATGTGACTCTAAACTTCAGCACTTTAGGATGAGTTTCTTCTTTTTCATCCTTCTCGTCTTTGGAAGATGCCAAATCATCACCTACTAATGTTGATATCTCTTCTTTGATGGCTGGATTTTCATAATAGTCTAAGATATGGGAATCTAAGGTATTATTAGTGAATCCTTTTTTATCCTCTTTCTCATCTGTTTTGTCTCCTTGTCCATTATCAATCTTTTCTCTACCTGAATTCTGATTTATCTTTTTGCGCTTTGTTTTTTTTTTCTTGAAACTGGTGTTAATTTTCCATACTTTTAAAGGGTCTGACCATGGAAGCTTCCCAGCCAGTTCTTCAAAATCCTTGAGAACTTCTTCCTATAAAGGACAGAGAATGAAATCCATACATCTCTCTCATCACCTTCACTGAATAAATCCCTACACTTTGCCTATAGACTACATTAATCATTACATTGGGGGTGGTAGAAGTACAGGACAAAAGAGGAAATAAGATAATGTCTATAATTAAGGAAATTAAAATTTCATTGAAATTTAAGATAAACACAAATTAAGCAACTGAAGAATAATACTAGACCTGTAGATCAGAAGTTGGGTTTTAAGATTAAAATGTAAGCAATCAGGGACGCCTGGGTGGCTCAGTTGGTTAAGCAGCTGCTTTCGGCTCAGGTCATGATCCCAGCGTCCTGGGATCGAGTCCCGCATCGGGCTCCTTGCTCATCGGGGAGCCTGCTTCTCCCTCTGCCTCTGCCTGCCATTCTGTCTGCGTGTGCTTGCTCTCTCTCCCTCTCTCTCTCTCTGACAAATAAATAAATAAAATCTTTAAAAAAAAAAAAAAAAGATTAAAATGTAAGCAATCAGAAACTATTAAAAATGGTTACCCCTAGGGAGGGGAAGTGGGTGGATGAAAAATGGGAGGGAGGGGTGCCTGGGTGGCTCAGTGGGTTAAAGCCTCTGCCTTCAGCTCGGGTCATGATCCCAGGGTTCTGGGATCGAGCCCCACATCGGGCTCTCTGCTCTGCGGGGAGCCTGCTTCCTCCTCTCTCTCTCTGCCTACTTGTGATCTCTGTCTGTCAAATAAATAAATAAAATCTTTAAAAAAAAAAAAAAAAGAAAAAAAGAAAAATGGGAGGGAAATTTACCTCTCACTGACTGACTTCCTTCTGAATTTTGTGCTATATATACATACTACTTTTAAAAGTAACTTTCTTTTTTAAAAGATTTTATTTATTTGACAGAGAGATAGAAAAGTAAGCAGAGCAGCAGACAGAGGAAGAGAGAGAAGCAGGCTCTCTGCTGAGCAGGAAGCCTGATGTGGGGCTCGATCCCAGGACCCTGGAATCATGACCTGAGCCAAAGGCAGCCGCTTAACCAACTGAGCCACCCAGGCGCCCCTAAAAGTAATTTTTTAAAAAAGTATTATTTGTTTACTTATTTTTTTTTAAGTAATCTCTATACCCAACGTGGGGCTCAAACTCATGATCCACTGAATGAGCCAACCAGGTGCCCCTAAAAAACAGTATTTTTTAAAAGGAAAAAGAAACCAGAAACAGTGAAAAATGTATCTATCCAGTTTTTTTTTTAATGATTTTATTTATCTGACTGAGAGAGACACAGCAAGAGGGAACACAAGCAGGAGGAGTGCGAGGAGAAGCAGGCTTCCCTTGGATTCAGCAGCCCCATGTGGGTCTCGATTCCAGAACCCTGGGATTATGACCTGAGCTGAAGGCAGATGCTTAATAACTGAACCACCCAGGTGCCCCTCTATCCAGTTTCTAAATAGTACCCAGAATCTTTTTAAAAAGTAAATCTGGGTGTACCTGGGTGGCTCAGTGGGTTAAGCCTCTGCCTTCAGCTCAGGTCATGATCTCAGGGTCCTGGGATCGAGCCCCCATCCAGTTCCCTGCTCAGCAGGAAGCCTGCTTCCTCCTTGCTCACTGCCTGCTTCTCTGCCTACTTGTGACCTCTGTCTGTCAAATAAATAAATAAATAATCTTCAAGGGGGGAAAAAAAAGGGTGGTGCAGAGCCATGCTGTCCAATTCAGGAGCCACTGGCTACATGTAGCTATTGAACGTAAACTAAGGGGACCTGGGTGGCTCAGTCGTGAAGTGTTTGCCTTCAGCTCAGGTCCTGATCCCAGGGCTCTGGGTTTGAGCCATGGGTGGGGCTCCTGGCTCAATGGGAAGCCTGCTTTTCCCTCTCCCTCTGTCCCTCTCCCCTGTTTGTACACACGTTCTCTCTCTCGAATAAATACAAATCTTTAAAAATAAAAGAATAAAAATAATTTTTAAAAAATAATGTAAAATGATTTATAATGAAAAGCTCAGGGGCACCTGGCTGGTTCAGGTGGTAGGACATGTGACTCTTGATCTCAGGGTCATAAATGAGTTCAAGCTGCACATTGAGCATAGAGCTTATTTTAAAACAAAAACACAAACATAAACAAACAAACAAAAACAAAAGCAAAAAAACCCCACCTCAGTTTCTCGATCACTTGAGCCACATTCACATGCTGACGGCTAGTGGTTACTATACTGGACAGTGCAGACCTAAACATTCCAGTAAAAGAGTTCTATTGCAGAGTGCTGGTATAGACAGTATATGCCACTGATGATCAAAGTAGAAAGATAATCAGTGTTCACTGATGGAACTGAGACTTGAAATGGAGAACAGTGAAGGTTCTGATACTAACTGAAACCTGATGAATGATGGTAAATTTCAGGTTTGGCAATTCTATCTACAATTATTTCCCTTTTACAAAGGACATCTACAGGACTTGGAGGGGTTTTATTTGTTTTTTTTTTTTTTTAAGATTTTATTTACTTATTAGACAGACAGAACCACAAGTAGTCAGAGAGGCAGGCAGAGAGAGAGAGGAGGAAGCAGGCTCCCCGAGGAGCAGAGAGCCCGATGCGGGGATTGATCCCAGGACCCTGGGATCATGACCTGAGCCGAAGGCAGAGGCTTTAACCCACTGAGCCACCCAGGTGCCCCAGGACTTGGAGGTTTGATATCATGGAGAACACTCACACAGTCCCTTTCTCTCTCCAGACACCATTCTAAACACTACCACCAAACGGAAATACCTCCTTTATCTTAAGAGAATCTACACGATACCTAAAACCTTGAACCATAACATAACAATCTAACCTAAGAATTCCCAAGTGCAGTGAGGGTCAAGAGAGGTGCAGGAAGACACCAGAGGGAGAATGCCCATAGATTTCAGATAAAGATTACAGCAGTCTGAAAAGCTGTAGCAAATAAACTGTTCTTTGGAATAGCAGAGAAGTATGTATACCAACAGAAGGAGCTTCCCTAGACTTCGGTTTGTACCAAGAACAAGCAAGGGAGAAAATGGAGGCTAAACAAAGAATCTTACAGACAGGCTCTATTTGTTGTGTTGATAAGGCAGAGCTGCTGAGAGATGTTTTACATTTTAAATAACCCCTAAGCTGCTGATCTCTTCAGGCTAGAGAGAAGTACTGGTTAAAAGAATTTTTGCAATAATATGGAAATTGTACCTCAATAAAGCTATTTAAAAAAAGACGGAAGAGAGACCTCATTCACCTACAACCCTTTGTCAGAAGGAACTTAACAGCGAAGCAGGGGAATTTCTTGCTGGCCTGAACAGTTCCTGGTTTCTCCCACAGGAGCCTCCTATCAGTAGCAGGTCCAGGAGGAACTTCCTCATTCACAGCTGAGCAATCATCAAAAGTTATCAGCATGCAATTTATATGAACATAAGAAAGGACAAAGGAGGAAAGGAACAGAAAAACAAAGAGCAGACAAAAAACAGTGACCAGAAAGACAGCGCCACAGAGCAGTTGAAAACTGATCAAACATACTGACATGACAGAAAAAAAAATGGAATGAGGAAATACCTTGGTAAAATAAGAGCTCCAAGCAGAGATATAAAAGCAGAAAGAAGATGAAGTAAGCCACCATAAAAAGATGAAACAGGAGCTTGTAGAGTTCAAAGAATTAAGTGGAATAAAAAAATAAAACTCCTGCAAAAATAAAGACCATACTGAAAGTACCACATACAAAAGACACTGCTGAAAACACAAGGATGTGGAGAAAGGTTAAGAAAATACAATGGAAGTGGGCAAAAAGTAAAAAAAAGATTAAAGAAAATCTTAAAACATGAAAGAAAGTCAAGAGATTCTACAAATGTAAAACTGATTTATCTGCAAAGAAAGACTTGAGATAATGAAAGAAAAAAACTTAGGGGTGCCTGGCTGGCTTAGCTGGTAGAGCATGCAACTCTTGATCTCAAGGTTGTGAGTTTGAGCCCCACACTGGGTGTAAAGCTTACTTAATAAAAAAAATAATAATAATTCAAGAGAATTTTCAATAAATGTGGATATGAACTTTTCTATAAACTGACATGTCTTGACAAGGAATTATTGACAATGAGACACAACCTGATCAACTTGTAAAACTTCAGAGATTAAAAATAAAATCTGGACATGATGCAAAAATATAAAGAAAGCAACAAATAGGGGGAAAAAAACCAAGATGGCTTCAGAATTTTCCATGGCAACATTTTTTTTTTTTAAGATTTTATTTATTTATTTGACAGACAGAGATCACAAGTAGGCAGAAGGCAGAGGCTTTAAGCCACGGAGCCACCCAGGCACCCCTATGGCAACATTTAATGCTAGAAGAAAAAGAATACTGCCTACGATATTTTTCAGGAAGAAAAGCATGACTCCAAATTTTATACTTAAAGCTATTCATCAAGCATAAAGCTGAAAAAGAATCATTTCTGAACTAATGCCATTTAAGAGATTAAAAACAAAACAAAACAAAATAGGGGTGGGTGCCTGGTGGCTCAGAGGGTTGGGCCTCTGCCTTCGGCTCGGGAGGTGGTCTCAGGGTTCTGAGATCTAGCCCGGGAGGTGGTCTCCGGGTCCTGAGATCTAGCCCGGGATCTAGCCCGGTATCATTGGGTTCTCTGCTCAGCGGGGAGCCTGCTTCCCCCTCTCTCTCTGCCTGACTCTCTGCCTACTTGCGATCTCTCTCTGTCAAGTAAATGAATAAAATCTTTAAATTAAAAAAAAGAAAAGAAAAGAAAACGGATTATGACTACAGGCAGAATCTGTCATTTGTAAATATCACAAATTGGAATTTAGTTAGAGGAGGAAGGAAAGAAAAGATGCTGACATCTTCCTCTGTAAAGAGATTAAAGGATAGAAGTTAAAGCTGCTAAGCAAATATATTTAAAAGAACCGGGGTTGGGGCACCTCAGTGGCTCATTTGGTTAAGCTTCTGACTCTTGATTTCATCTCAGGGTCATGAGTTGAAGCCCCATGTTGGGCTCCATGCTGGGTGTGGAGCCTACTTGAAAAAAAAATAAATAATAAATTTTTAAAAGCACAGGGGTCAACACTAAGAAAAAAATAAAACTGGAGGGTGAAAAGGAAGGAGGGGAGATGTGGAAAATATGCCAACTTCATCACTGCTCTTAGTAGGGATTAAAAAAATACTAAACAGTAGTTTAAGTTGTAGTTATAATAACAGCTAGAAACCTTACAGCCGGATTTTGGCACCAAACAAAACAAAAACGAAAACAAAACCTTCCAAACTAGTATAAACCAATCTGTAAAAATGCAAAGAAAACACATAGAGAAACTTAAAATAAGAAAAAGCAGAATGTGTGTAACATAAATGTGACAGAACCAAGACTAAACATTTCTGACTTAGCAATAAGTACTGGTAAGATTAACTACCTTTTTAAACAGAAAAATGACCCACAGATTGAATAGGTATATGGATATATAAAGGATATCTGCTGAACCACTGTAATAGCAAGAGTATGAAAAACCCTCAAGTCCTAAATGAGAATGTTACATTATGATGTAGAGAAATCCAACATGACATTGGCATAATCTTCAAGATATAGGAGAAAAGGCAGAGCACAAAACAGTATGTATGGCATGCTTTAATTTGTCTAAGTACATAAAAATGCACATATTTATAAAATATCTCTAGAGGGATAGCCAAGAAATTGGTGGTAGACGTTGTTGCCTCCAGGGAGGGAACTGGATGGTTTGGAGATAGAGGAACAAACACTTTTCACTGCATATCCTTTGGATCTTTACAATTTTGCTCGAAGTACATGTATTACCCAGTTTTAAAAACAACCCATATAAAGCATAGATATTACCTTTTTTAAAAATAGGTTAATCAATTCATGATACCTGAATATCTCTCCATAGACCTATAAGAATACTAGTTAACATGCTACTTATAAGATATGGGAAAGTATAATGCCACAAACAACAAAATTGATGGGCAACAGAAAGCAAGAAGCAAATATTTAAAAAAAGAGTATGGGAAAAAACAAGAACAACAACAAAACCAAAAACCACACACACACACACACACACACACACACACACGAAAAAATAAAATAAAAACAAGAGTATGGGAATACGTTGCAATTTAAGTCCATAAAGGGAAAGGCTTAACAATATTTCATGGTCTCATACGTGCCCTTGCACAGATCTGAAAATCTACCTTAATCCTTGCTGTTCTTCTTTTGGGACTTCCACCAGCAAACTCTTTTGCAATTACTTACAAAGCAATTCTGAAAAGCTGGCTCATGTAGAACCATTACATAGTATCAAATTCACCTCCAAGTGGAGCTCAAAACCATCCAAAATAATTCAAACTCCAAGATGCCAAAACATAGGATTTTAAGAAAATATTAACAAAGGCCAGAATTTAAGATGGAACTTTACAGGGTTTTTATTTTTTTTTTATAGTTTTTAAAAATGCCCATTAGCATTTACTCATGTATAGAATTGGCTATTAAAATTTCCAAATACTAAACAGCAAAAATTTTCAGTAGCCTTCCTGTTATGTTCCAGTTTTACTGATATGATTCAGTTGACAATGATTATCAGAAGTCTGAAGGGTTATAATGCTAGTATTGAAAGTTACATTTTTTTTTTAAAAGATTTTATTTATTTATTTGTCAGAGAGAGAGAGGGAGAGAGAGCGAGCACAGGCAGACAGAATGGCAGGCAGAGGCAGAGGGAGAAGCAGGCTCCCTGCTGAGCAAGGAGCCCGATGTGGGACTCGATCCCAGGATGCTGGGATCATGACCTGAGCCGAAGGCAGCTGCTTAACCAACTGAGCCACCCAGGCGTCCCTTGAAAGTTACATTTTTAATTAATACAATTTTAATCTATTTTTAGCCTGAATTCTTTTAGGTCAGGTTTTATTTTTTCTAGACTGGCGGGTTCATATCACTTCAATTGGTTACTGAATAATGCTTTGGAAATCAACCTGTTGCCAGTAAATAAAAACTAGAGAACTAGGCAGTATATCACAGATTTTAAAAATACATTGTTTCTAATATAGGCAATAAACCACAGAAAGAAAGTTTTCAAGCATCTGATTCTGGAAACCTGGCCAAAAAACAATGTGGAGAAATACTAAGGCCTTACTGCAATCTATATTTCAATCTTCAACTTAGTTAGCATATCAATATTTAGGAATCAGACGCTAAATACAAATTGGAAACAGAGCCGTTGTCTTAAGAAGTGAAGGAGTATTTAGATACTATTTTAGTTTTATTTTTTTAAAAAATGAAGTTAGAAAAAAAAAATAAAAAAAAATGAAGTTAGAGAAGAAAGCAGGGCAAAAGCAGAACTGTGAGAGAAATGTTATATGTAGATGATTCAGTCACTTAATCTTTGATTCACAGTCTGAAGGCAATTCTATTTGAAACCGTATATATAAGCAAAACTAATCTAAAGTATATACCTTTTTGTAATAAAATCAAACTATTTTGTTTCTTATACAATTTGATATTTTACTATATTGACTTTTGTTAACTTATTTTTTGTTATTCTTTCATCTTTTACAAAAGAGATGTAACTGACATACAACATTATTTTAGTTACACATGTACAACATGATTTATTATTTGTATATATTGCAAAATGACCACCACAATGTCTAGTAAACATCTATCACCCCACATAGTTATAAAAATTTATCATGTGATGAGATCTTTTAACATCTACTCTATTAGCAACGTGCAAATATGCAGTACAGTATCATTAGTTATAGCCATCATGCTATACATTACATCCCCAGGACTTACTTATTACATAGTTTTAAGTTTGTACCTTTTGACCCTCTCCCATCTGTTTTGCCCACTACTCACAATACTGATTTTTTTAAAAAAACAACTCTTGGCTGGGGTGCCTGGGCGGCTGTCAGTGAAGCATCCAACTCGATTTCAGCTGGGGTCATGATCTGAGGGTTATGGGATCAGGCCCCACATTGGACTCTGTGCTCAGTGGGGAGTTGGCTTGAGGTTCTCTCCCTCCCTCTCCCTCTGTCCCTCCTCCCCCACTCTCTACCCCCTCTCAAATAAATCTTTAAAAAAATAAAATATAAAAACTTTTAGAATGAGCAGTCACAAATTTCTCATTTTTATATAAAATCCTCCCAGTATTCTATAATATATATGCAGTAGTAATGCTAAATGATAGAATGCAAAATGTGGGAATAATCTCTTTGGGGAAGAAGGCTGAAAGTCAGCTACTATGTTTGGGAAAACTCACCTTTGTTTCTTTGAACTGGTAATCTTTAAACTCCTTAACAACCACAAATAAGTTATCAACTGATCTCAGACAATGAACCTGGAGAAGGGGAAAAAATGTTAGAAACAAAGTCCTAAAAAAACTTTTGAATCACATGAGATATCAACACTTAAATATAAAAAATTAGGTACAAACATTTTAAGAAGCTAATACCTATAATGTGTACTTTAAATTTTTCCTGTCTCCCTAGTCTCCCATGCTTTTGGTTACCCATTAGCTTCTATTCCCCTACAGAAATGTAAGAAGGAAGACGGTAGGATAGCTTGAAGGGCTACCAGGGAAACACAGGTTCAGGAGAGAAAGGAAGATAAATAAAGACAAGTGGTGCTTTATCATATTTCCCTCATGGCTCCCTAGGGTACACTGTAGAGTGCAGTAGTTAAGAGCACAGGGTTTGAGGTCCAGCTGTGCTTACTAGCTGAGCAACCCTGCGGAAGTTACTTATTCCTAAGCCTAATAATTAATGAGGATAATAAAAGCCCTATCTTCACAAAGCAGCTGAGGTTATTAACTAAGATACTGGTGGAAAATATTTGCTTGCCAATTCATCCTCCAAATATTTACTGGGTGTCTACTATATGCCAGACACTAAGAAATTGGGAGGTATCAGCCCAAGAAACCCCAAAGAATTCCTGCTCCCATGATGCTTATGTGGTAATGAGATATTAGTTAGCTTTTATTCAAGCGGGATGGCAGTTTGCTGAGCACTTTTCCCTTTCAAGGGAAATTACTTCTGAGCAAGAATTTCCTTGACATATACTAAAAGAAAAATCTCTCCTTTATGCTTCACCACCAAAGACTAAACTTCAGTTAGATGTTAAAGTAAATAAATTCAAGGACATCTGATATTCAGAATTTCTTCAAAAGTCACATAGGATTCTTTCTGGTGAAATTCATTCTCAGGAAATATTAGGATCACTTCTAAAACCATAGAAAACCTACTAGTCAAACTTACAGATCAGTACTGAATGGAAAATGCAGTAATACTTTAAAATCACCAAATGTGAGGCAGAGCAAAGAAAAGCAAAAAGGATCCAAGAGGGATCAGTAAGGCAGAAAATAATTGTAAAATGACCTTTCTAGAAAACTATTTTAAATATTGCTTCATTCAAACCTGAGCCAGACTTTCCACTGAAATGTCAAAATATATCTTGCCCCGGTCTTTGCTGATTTTGCATGATGACCCCAATTTCTCTCTCACTTCATCTGCAGCTGTTTGCTCAAAACCAGTAGGTACAGTGGCTCCAATAGTGACTTGGAGGTGCTCAGACTCACTTCTGGGATCACTTTCTGTCACTTGTATAGCCCTCCAGTTCTCATGAAGGTTCACATCCAAGAGCTGCTTAGTGGCTTCTTGAACATCAGACATGTTGGCAGTGCTTCAAAGATGACTACAGTCTCTTTAAAAGCAGTACAGAAAAGAAAAAGAGATAATGCCTAAACATTATCACCTCATATTTCAACTATAATTTAAAAACACCTACTTTCTGGGCACCTGGGTGGCTCAGTGGGTTGGGCGCCTGCCTCCAGCTTGAGTCATGATCCCAGGGTCCTGGGATCGAGCCCCTCATTGGGCTCCCTGCTCAGCAGGGAGTCTGCTTCTCCCTCTGCCCCTCCTCATTGCTCATTCGTACTTTCTCTCTCTCAAATAAATAAATAAAATCTTTAAAAAACAAAACAAAAACAAAAAACAAAACACCTGCTTTTGAGGGCTAGAAGAATAACAAGGCAACACAACCACACGGCCATATGCAGTCAACACCCCTCAATCAATATTCACCGACGATAAAAGGATTAAAGAACATGGGCACAGAGGATCAGATGTAAAAACTGTGATATTATTTAAAAAGCAACATAGATGCTAAGGAAGAAAAGGAGACAGAGAAGTAGTATTTTCACAGCATGCTATGTCTGGTTTGGGACCATCTGTGTTGATAAAAGCCACCTCAGAGTTAACAATTCCCCAACAGAGGCTGCCAAGAACACACTCAAATACGTCTCTACATCCAGCCCTTTTTCAGTTAGCAGTTAAGAACTACTACGGAGCTTTGGAACCACAGACATGCGTCTGAATTCTTGCCCTCACCATCCACAGGATGAACGGCTTAAAACAAGTTTATTCTCCTATGCATCAATTTCCTCATCTGTAAAAACGAGAATTAATACCTCTCTTCTAGAGTTGTTGGGAGACTTGAGAAGAGCATACTGCCAGGCCCATGATTAAAACTTTCTAAGAGAGTATCTTCTTCTTCCTTTGAAATGGACAGTGAATCATGCATTTAAAAAAGATTTACAGGGGCGCCTGGGTGGCTCAGTGGGTTAAAGCCTCTGCCTTCGGCTCCGGTCATGATCCCAGAGTCCTGGGATCGAGCCCCGCATCGGGCTCTCTGCTCAGCGGGGAGCCTGCTTCACTTCCTCTCTCTGCCTGCCTCTCTGCCTACCTGTGATCTCTGTCAAACAAATAAATAAAATCTTAAAAAAAAAAAAAAAAGATTTACATCCACGATCTAATCTGGGAACCATGGAGTGGCAATGGTATTTGTGAAATATCTGTAACAGTGAGCCAAATTTCCTGTCTATAAGCGCGGGGTGGGGACGGCAGCGGAATTTACAGAGGTGGGTAGTGGGGATCAACAGCGCTCACTAGATTTCAAAGGTTGTATGACCCAGAACAACACAAAGCAGGCAGAGCACCTACACTGTTCTTGCTCTGTGACCGGGCAGGCGACAGTGTATATAACACTAATAAAAGTCAGTTCCAGCCCCGAAGGAGCTCATAATCCCCGTGACTACGACTTCCATCTCCTAAATAAAGCAGCTTGAGCCCACTAAAGTCATATCCCGCCCAGGGTCAGAGAAAGCCGATCAGTGGCGCAGGCTGGAATGTGTCTCTCGACTCACACCCTCCGCCCCAGAGACAGGAATCCCAGAGTGTGGGTGAAGGCCTAGAATAAGCAACCAAAAAAGCTCCGCAACAGGATCGGGCTAAAGTCCAGTTCGGTGTTGGCCAGGGTCGTAAGACAAAGGTCGTCCCTCCCTCCCGAGGGACAGCGGCGCCACACCCGGCCACTCCCACCCGCCGCCCGGTTACCGGCCACCAGCACAGACCCTCCTCGCTCCGGAACCCCGCCAGGCCCAGCGCGCTGAGGTCACGCCGCCGGAAGCCGCCTCGACTTCCCCGGAAACGGAAGTTAGGCTGCGCGGTCCCAGATGCTCAGATCTGGGGAAGGGCGCTCGCGAAAGGTCAGGGAGAAAAGAACATGCGCATTACGGTTTGTGCGCGGTGGCGCCGCTTGTGGGGTAGTCGGCTGTAGCGGCTGGGGCTAGGCTTGTCTGCAAGCTGAACCTGGAGAGCCCCAGAGCTCGTGGCCTGTTATCATAGTAGCTAACTTTTACAGCGTGCTTAGCCGTGCCAGGTACCGAGTAAGCGCTTCACACGCGTCATTTCCTTTGCTCCAACAGCTCTTTGAAGTAGCACGGACTATCCCAGTTTTAAAGTCGAAAAAAGTGAGACTCAAAGAGGTTACATATCTTGCTCAAACTGTCAGGCGCAGCATTTTGGAAGCAGAACTGGGTCTTGAATCTGGATAGTGTGACTCCAGAATGCTTCCTCATCATGTCTGACCCAGTGTTGTTGAAACTAGTCTCTTAGTTAAAATTGTCTTCACTACTTCTGTCCAACTGCACTCTTGATTACTTAATACTATTCTCTAAATACATATATTTTAAAATATTTATTTATTAGAGACAGTGAGTTGGGGAGAGGCAGACAGAGAGGGAGAGAGAATCTCAAAACTCCACTCTCCGTCTGTAGCCCCTTCGAGGGGCTGGATTTCACACCCTGAAATCATGACCTGAGCGGAAATCAAGCGTGCTGTCTAGGGAGTAAGCCACCCAGGCTCCCCTAAATACATGTTTTTAACTTATTTTAGAAGTAAACGTGTGGGGTCGCCTGGGTGGCTCAGTCGTTAAGCATCTGCCTTCCGCTCAGGTCATGATCCCAGGGTTCTGGGATAGAGCACCACATCGGGCTCTCTGCTTGGCAGGAAGCCTGCTTCTCCCTCTCCCACTCCCCACTGCTTGTATTCCCTCTCTCGCTCTCTCTCTCTGTGAAATAAATAAATAAAATCTTAAAAAAAAAAGAGAAGGAAACGCGTGCAACTCAACAACAACAACAAAACACTCCAATTTTACAAAGGGCTATGGCTTGAATATCTCTCCAAATAAGATACATTTATGGACAATTGTCACATGAAAAGATGCTCTACATCATTAGAGAAATGCAAATTAAAACCAAAATGAGGGGTATCTGGGTGGCTCACTCAGTTAAGCATCTGCCTTAGGCTTGGGTCATGATCCTAGGGTCCTGAGATCCAACTGCAGTGGGCTCCCTGCTCAGCTGGGAGCCTGCTCCTCTCTTCCACTTGTTGTCTCTCACTCTCTCTCAAATAAATAAAATCTTTTTAAAAAATGAAATACATACTTTGGTGGGTAATTTTTTTTTTAATGAACAGTTAAAAGTTCCGCATAGAGCAATGGAACACTTACATGTTGCTGGTGGGAATGCAAAATGATACAGCCACTTTGGAAAACAGTTTTGCCTTTCTTCAGAAAGATAAACATAATTACCACATGACCCAGTAGTTCTGCTCCTAGGTGTATACCCAAGAGAACTGAAAAACAGATGTTCAAAAAAAACTTGGACATGATATGCCTGCAGCATTATTTGTAATAGCCTCAAAGTGGAAACTCAAATATTCATCAGCAGATGAACATAAAAAACATAATTTATATATCCATACTGTGGAATATTATTCAGTCATAAAAAGGAATGAAGTACTGTACTGATTCATGCTACAAAATGGGTAAATCTTGAAAACATTATGCTGTGTGAAAAAAACAGCGCCAAAAGACCACATATATGATTCCCTTAATATGAAATTCCAGCAAAACCAATATAAAGAGACAGATTAGTGGTTGTTTAGGGCTAGAAAGAGTGAGGACATTGGTGGTGATAGCTAAAAGGAATGGGTTTTTTTGAAGGGGAAACGAGAATGTTGTTGAATTATATAGTAATGATGGTTGTACAACATGGTGAATATACTAAAAAACTGAGTTGTGGGGTGCCTGGGTGGCTCAGTGGGTTAAAGCCTCTGCCTTCAGCTTGGGTCATGATCCCAGGGTCCTGGGATCGAGCCCCATATCAGGCTCTCTGCTTAGTGGGGAGCCTGCTTCCCTCTCTCTCTCTGCCTGCCTCTCTGCCTACTTGTTCTCTCTCTCTCTGTGTGTCAAATAAATAGATGAGATCTTTAAAAAAAAAAAAACTGAGTTGTACAGTTTAAAACTTTTAAAATAGTGAATTTTGTGTGAATTTTATCTCAAAGGAAACTTTGGTCTCATGGGAAATTCATCTGCAGTTTCCTTTGATGGAAAATGATAATGAGTTGTTGCAACAGGCATCTGGGTGGTTCAGTCAGTTAACCATCTGCCTTCGGCTGGGGTCTTGATTTCTTGGGGTCGTGAGATTGAGCCCCATGTCAGGCTGTCTGCTCAGCAAGGGGCCTGCTTCTCCCTCTCCCCGCCATTCGGCCTGCTTGTGTGCTTTCTCTCTCTCTGTCGAATAAATAAATACAATCTTTAAAAAAAAAAAAGAGTTGTGGATGACTAGGCAGCTCAGTTGATTAAGCCACTGCCGTCGGCTCAGGTCATAATCCCAGGGTCCTGGGATAGAGTCCCGCATCAGGCTCCTTGCTCAGCTGGGAGCCTGCTTCTCTCTGCCTCTGCCTGCCACTTTGCCTGCTTGTGCTCTCTCTCCCCCACCCTCTCTCTCTGAAAAATAAATAAATAAGTAAGATCTTAAAAAAAAAAGAGTTGTTGCAAGATTTAAATGAGATTAACATGTTACCAGTCTCATAATTGAAGTAGACAATGCCCCTAAGATTAATACAATGAAAATTAAAAAAGGTTATTGAAATCCTGGCCAGATACTGTTCCCTATGAAAGGCTCTTAGTAACCTTTACATGTAAGGCCCATTCTCTATTCTTTAAAAGGATAAATTATCAAGTATTAGAGATAAACTAGGACTATATGAGGCTTTCATTTTTTTTTATTTTTTATCAATGTATAATGTATTATTAGCCCCAAGGGTACAGGTCTATGAATTTCCAGGTTTACACTTCACAGCACTCACCATAGCACATACATTCCCCAATGTCCGTAACCCAATCACCCTCTCCCTAGCTCCTTACCCCTGGCAGCCCTGAGTTTGTTTTGTGAGATTAAGAGTCGCTTATGGTTTGTCTTCCTCCCGATCCCATCTTGTTTCATTTTTTCCTTTCCTACCCCCCAAACCCTGCACTTTGCCTCTAAACTTCCTCATATCAGAGAGATATGATAATTGTCTTTCTCTGATTGACTTATTTCATTCAGCATAATACCCTCTAGTTCCATCCACGTTGTCGCAAATGGCAAGATTGCATTCCCTTTCATGGCTGCATAGTATTCCTGTGTGTGTGTGTGTGTGTGTGTGTGTGTGTGTGTGTGTGTGTATCACATTGTATATATATACCACATAGTATTCCATCGTATATATATACCACGTCTTCTTTATCCATTGTCTGTTGATGGACATGTAGGTTCTTTCCATAGTTTGGCTATTGTGGACATTGCTGCTATAAACATTTGGATGCATGTGCCCCTTCAGATAACTACATTTGTATCTTTAGGGTAAATACCCAGTAGTGCAATTGCTGGGTCGTAGGGTAGCTCTATTTTCAACTTTTTGAGGAACCTCCATGCTGTTTTCCAGAGTGGCCGAACTAGTTTGCATTCCCACCAACATTGTAGGAGGGTTCCCCTTTTATATGAGGCTTTCTTGACCTAATGAGAGGGATTAAAATATTGAAAAGGTTCTCTCCACCTGATTTAGTGTTATTTAATGCATACCTTTATACTATCTAAAATCATTTCTGGGGCACCTGGGTGCCTTAGTCAGTTAAACATCCAACTCTCTCTCTCTCTCTCTCTTTTTTTTTTTTTAGATTTTTAAATTTATTCATTTCAGACAGAGAGAAAGAGGAAGAGAGCATAAGCTGGGGGATAGGCAGAAGCCAAGGGAGAAGCAGACTCTCTGCAGAGCTGGGAGCCAGACACGGGGCTCAATCCCAGGACCTGGAGATCATGACCTGAGCTGATGGCAGACATTCAACCATCTGAGCCACCCAGGCACCCCAAGTGTCCAACTCTTGATTTCAGCTCAGGTCATGGTCTCAGGGTCTTGAGATCAAGCC